TAACTGTGAAAGAACTTGATGAAGCTGAACGTTTGTGGTGGAAAGAAGTGCAACTGACCAGTTTCAAGAGTGAATTGGAATGTATTCAGACTGAAGACGACATCAAAGGTAGTAGAACACAAAATTTGTGTCCCTATGTTGATAGTCATGGTGTTATTAGAGTCAGAAGTAGAATTGTGTCTGATATACTCGGGTTTGGAAATAACCCAGTGATTCTAGATTCTACACATAACTTCACAAAGTTATCAGTTCAGTCGTACCATGAAAAATTCAACCATCAGAGTGAAAGTACTATAATGAATGAATTACGTCAGAAGTATTGGATTGTTGGGTTAAGAAATCTAGTCAAGATTACTGGTCGTAACTGCCAAAAGTGCAAGATAATGAAGTCCTGAAATTCCATGGGCAATTTACCAATCGGAAGAACAACACCTCATGTCAGACCTTTCACCCATTGTGGATTGGATTATTTCGGACCTTTTTTAGTGAAAATGGGACGACGAAGAGAAAAACATTATGACGTTCTGTTCACTTGTCTTGCCATCCGTGCCATACATCTTGAGATAGCTAACTCTTTAACGACGGATTCCACTCTAATGGCCATAGAGAGAATGGGAGCGAGAAGAAGTTATCCAGCAGAACTGTATAGCGACAATGGAACCAATTTAAGAGGAGCTGATAAAGAATTGCAAAAAGCTGTCGCTGAACTGAACCAGGAAACACTAGTCTGTAAATTGACTTTGAAATCTATCAAATGGAATTTCAATCCGCCAACAGCTTCTCACATGGGTGGAGTGTGGGAACGGCTCATACGTTCGGAACACGAAAGAACACGTCCCACATGAAGAAGTCCTCCACACACTTTTTCTCGAAGTCGAAAATATTGTGAATTCCAGATCTCTCACTGACATTTCTTTAGATAGTAAGGACGAGGAAGCATTGACACCCAATCATTTTTTGTTGGGACCTTATTACAACCAGCCTTTACATGTGTTGAAGAATTATCGCTCAGATGAAAAGTTTTTCAAAAGACAATGGAAGATTGTACAAGATTTGAGTAATAAATATTGGAAGCGTTGGATGAAGGAGTACCTACCTAGCCTACATAATCGACCAAAATGGACAAAAGAAAATTAAAAATTGAAACTCGACGACGTTGTTATTGTAGCTGATGATCAAAGTCCTAGGAACTTATGGCTTAAAGGAATCGTAGTTGCTATATTCCCAGGAAAAGATGGCCGCGTTCGAGTTGCCGACATCGAGACATAAGATGGTGTATTCAGAATACCAGTTTCGAAACTATGTATATTAGATGTCCGAAGAAATGGATGAAGAATCATATTCCTCATCGGGGGGGGGAGAATGTTGTTGAATTTTTGTCAAGTAATATTTTTCTTCAGTCAATTAAAGTCATTGTTCTTTGAAATACTTATTCTTTCAGAAACTAGCGTATTTGATCGTTCTGAAGACATCAGGACGGTCTGAGCCAGCAGACAGCTACAGGCAGGAAGGTTTAGTTACCACCACACACTAGGCGGCAGGATCCTTCCAATTCCCGAGATCACTCGAAATCATGCACTAGCTGGCAGGATGGGAATATACAGTCAAATTTTTCCGTTCATCTTCTGGCATTATCTTCCCTTGTAAACAGAAATGTCCGCCAGCAATATATACATTGGAGTGAATGAAAATTCTTTTTGGTTACTCGACCAAACAGATATATATGATAATGAAGATGATGGAAAGCTCTAATTTCGAGTGACAACGGAAAATGAAAAAACTGCACTGCCCCGCGTGAGATTCGAACTCACATCCTCTGGGTTACATCGGATCGGCAGGATGGTCGAGTTTTCATCAGAGTTCAGGCAGCAGAATCCTTCTAATTCCCGAAGTACCTCGAAATAATGCAATATACAGTACGTGTGAAAAATTCAGGAGCATGTTGCTGACGTCTAAATGAAAAAAAAATTTTTATTGACATAATTATATCCGAAAGTTATCCGTTTCTGAGATATAGAGTCGTGTCAAAGTTGAATTCTTATTTCTGTTTTTTGTTGATACATTTCAAAATAATTGTGACATTCTAATGAAATTTTATATCTAGGGGTATTTTTCAATGACAATATCAAATTTCATGTTAGTTTGTCTTTTTCGTGGTGGTGGCGCCACCTTCATGTCTTCTGAGTCTTTCGAAAAGTCATTACTTTTTTTGCGTACTTGTATAACGTTTCATAGTGAGAAAATAGATTTCTGAAACACTTTTGCGCAAAATAGTATATTCTTCAACGAGCGTATAATGATAGCTATTATTCCCGAGGATATGATCCCGAAACGAGCCGCAGGCGAGTTTCGGAATTATCCGAGAGAATAATAGCTATTATACGCGAGTAGAAGACTATACTTTCTCTACGACTATACGATAGTCAGAAATTTAATGTATTTTAATTATTATTTATGAAAATAATATACTTGATGTATGAATTTTAATGATAATATAATACTAACAATTGACAGGAATCTTTAATATTCAACGAACTCAATGATGAAACAACACAATAATTATTAGGTCAGTGAATTATGTTTCTCGTACTTAGTGACTAAACTTTTAGTGATATTCTCACAATTCGTGAAATTTAATGTCGGTGTTGCATTTAAATCAACACTGACATTTTTATTCATATTGCTTGTTGATGTTTTTTGTGTGATCTTCTAAAAATCCTTCTGCCACCGATGTGCTCTTCCAGCCACCATGCCTTTTCAATGCTGTTATACCTCCACCTGCATTGACAAGCAAAGCAATGCCCGGTGCACATCTCGGGATTTGGTAGCTTCCAAAATGTAACTATTTGTTTTCCCATTGCTGCAAACTTATTAATTCCAATTTTCTGAAAAGTACATTTTCCTTTTTGGTAATTCATGAAAAAATTGGAAATCACAACATTTGCTGCTCATATATCGATGTACTTTTTAAAAAATTGATGAAATTTTCCGGTTACAGTGAACCTCCTTACAATTTTTGTTTTGGTCTCAGGAATAGTTATCATCCATGCAGATCCAAGATCTTGAATATCTTTAATATTCATAGAGTACATTTCTATGGAACGGCAAGCCTCCATTATATCCTCCAGATATCAAAGTTAAAACTTAAAAGACTCTATAAGTCAATCTGACATTCGCGAAAGTCAAGCCGTGACGTGACCCGTAAAATGAAGCAGAGCCTTCTTGAGAAATTTGTTTGGTAGATCTGCTGGTTTTTCATTAGTCTAACCTTTTCAGTTGCTGTGGATCCTGAAAATTCTGAATCTGTGATTGGTCGAGTGCCGTTGAATAATGAGTTGGGGTCCACGGTGTCTTGGAATCATCTTCATTCATCAATTACTAACCTATATGCAATCAATGTAGAATACGATAGTCGTAGAGAAATATATTTTTCTACTATGTTACGTTATAAAGGTACGCACAAAAAAATTATGACTTTTCAAAAGACTCAAAAGTCATCTAGGTGGCGCCACTCCCACGAAAGAGACAAACTTAAAAAAAGTTTGATATTTCCATCGAAAAATACCCCTAGATACCAAATTCCATTCCGATATCACGATTATTTCGAAATTTATTTACAAAAAACATAAATAAGAATTCAACTTTGACACTCTGTATCTCAGAAACGAATAACTTCCGTACTTAAATTTATACGAACTCTTCTTCTTATTCTGACGTCAGCAACATGCTAGTGAATTTTCCACACGTACTTAAGAAACACCAAGTACATAATATATGAAGTTCCATCGTAGGTTCCTTCGGTCTAATAATGAAGTTGAATCATACGAAAGCGTAGAAAGGCCACTGTTGTGTGTAATGTATTTTATTTGTTTATTCAGACTTTTTTTCTGAATTCAGAATTCTTCCTCTGAATTCAGACTCATTTGTCTGAAATCAGACTTTTTTCCTCTGAATTCAGACCTTTTTCTCTGAAATCAGACTTTTTTCCTCTGAATTCAGTCTTTTTTGTCTGAATTATACTTTTTTCTCTGAATTCAGACTTTTTTCTCCTTTTTATCTGAATCCAGACATTTTTTTCTGAATACAATCATTTTTCTTTGAATTCAGACTGTTTGCATTGAATGCATTGAATACATATTCACATTTGGGTATACCGAGTGTAATTCACTGATTTCAGTAAGTACCTTTCAAATGTCATTTCGTTCTCATAGGGTTCATGATTGATTTTATCATTTTTTGCAGGTCAGTACGTCAAAACGTGTGTAATGAATGATGTGATGCTTGTTCAAATATATTTATACCCTATATAAAAAGCGAGAGTATAGTTTATACAGGGTTCTGCATCACACCCCCCGTCTTCTATAGCTCAGTTATCAGCGAGTTAGAATTTTGATATTTTGCAGACTTCAATTGTATCATAGGGCGCATACCAGGAAAATAATTTCGAATATACAGGGTGTACCACCAGAAGTGGTAGTAACTTTCGAATTTCAAATTGAACACCCTGTAGGTATATCAATGCATTTTCAAATTTTGCATCATTTCCTGAATCGAATAATACCATATATGAGTGACATTTCAAACTCCGATATTGATTTCAATTTCATTTTTAATTTTCCATTCGAGTGCGCCATGACTATTCATATCGAGTCTGATGTATTTGTATTGTCAGGTGTGATGCTTAATGAATTGAATCCTGCCAAAAATGTGGCATTGTTCATCGAAATGGTTTGGTGTACCATGATCCTGTTACACCCGATTTATATGGTGTGTAGGATGAGTCTGAATTCAGACAAAAAAGTCCTAATCCAGAGATAAGAAGTCTGAATGAGGAAATTAAATAAAATACATACAATAGTGGCTTTTCTACGCTTTCGTAGAATCATAATCTGATATAACCAATAATACTTCCTTTGGATAATCGGAGAGTCACTGTGAAGAATACTTGTGTGATGTGTGTGTTCCTTTCGTATATAATAGATAGAGGGTTTTTCACGTACCTTTCGATTTTAAGGACGGCAAAAACGTCCTTTCATTTGGCAAATCACTCGCGAACTCACGCTTTCCTGTTACGAAGACAATCAATAATGGCGCAGGCGCCTTTTGAAGTTAGCGGGAGATGAAAAAAGTCTTCTCGGGATAATAGCATGTTGCTCCATTTTTTGGCCTACATACACAATATTATGGATATGTCAGCTATATCTCAATACAATGACATAGCCCTATATTGGAAAATAAATATTGTTCCTGATAGAAAATCGATTAAGTATGGATAATACCGGGTGACACAGGGTATTGGGCCATCGCTGTAGCTTCTGCATCCGTGAATGAAATTTTGTGAAATTTGGTACAGTGAAGGGGACACCATTTAGGATTCGATCACATTACAATCCAATATGACGGACATCCGGTTCTTCTGGAAATGACTCTGTTTCTTCAAATGAAATATCCGGTATATTTCCACGTATTCAAGTTCAACAGAACTTAACATATGCGATCTTTATGTCAGAAGACATTTTTCTTCGAAGAAATTGTCATTTCAAATGTTATTTCCTTCAAGTCATGGAAACCATCCATCCTTCTCAAAGTGGTCCCGATTTTTTCAAAAAAAAAAAAAAAAAAATACACCAAGTCGGTCGACCACAAAATTATATTACACAATTACTAGTGTGACTAGTTTCGGCTAAACAGCCATCTTCAGACACAAATTGAATAAAGTACCTGTAAGAGATGAAATTACAGACGAACAATAAGTTTGCTGAGGAAAAAACATACCAAGGCCATGTGGTGATTACAAATTCAACATTTTTCTTTTTCTTTTACCTCGTGGATGAATGAGATATATTGTCATGCTATTCACGATGAGTTGCACAACACATGAATATTTTTTTCCAATATACCGGGTGTCCCATTTTAATCTTTATTTTGAAATTTCTCGAAATGTATGCATCTGACAAAAAAATTGCCAAATAAAAGTTGTATGGTTTGGAGGGGGACGTCTGATTATAAAACAAGTTTCACCCCCTGACCCCCAGGGGAGTGGGAAATGGAGGTAACATTGAAATCTTTAATGGAAACCCCTATTTTTCATTGCTGATTCTGGAAGAGCATTAAAAACTATGAAGCTTTTATTCAGAAACTTTTTTTCTATTTTCACAAGATGGCGCTGCGATCTTGAAAAACAATATTTTACTATTTAGTTTGTAGTTGGCCACCCAGATCACCCGACTTGAATTCCCCAGACTTCTTTCTGTGGGGTTACATCAAAAACATTGTGTTTCGCGAACCTCCAACCACACGCGAGAATATGAAAGATAACGCCTGCTATGTTGGAAGCGACAATGCGGAATTTTGAAAAACGAGTGAACTTGTGTGTTCAAGAAAATGGAGGTCATTTCGAACTCTTGATGAAGTAGTCAATCTCACTTGAAACCAGCTCTAGTCTGACCTAAATGATACCTTAATTGCTGAAACATGCTTATTTTTCTCTTTTCTATGTAGAGGTGTCAAGGTAAGTAAGTTCGTTTAGCGTCAATTTGTCGTGTGAATATCACCCCAATGGCGTTTGTCTGGGAAAATATCACACCCTACACTCTTCCTCGTCTTCGGGGGGTTGAAATGTGTAAATAGTGAAATATTGTTTTTTACGATCGCAGCGCCATCTTGTGAAAATAAAAAAGAAGTTCCCGAATAAAAGCTTCATAGTTTTTAATGCTCTTCCAGAATCTGCAATAAAAAATAGGGATTTCCATTAAAGATTTCAATGTTACCTCCATTTCTTACTCCCCTGGGGGTCAGGGGGTGAAACTTGTTTTATAACCAGACGTCCCTTTCCAAACCATACAACTTTTATTCGTCAATTTTTTTTGTCAGATGCATACATTTCGAGAAATTTCCAAATAAAGATTAAAATGGGACACCCGGTATACACAAACATCCCTAGGATGTAACATTCATGTGGCGCTAGGTAACTATGCGAACTACAAAATAACATATTATTGGTATTGCCAGGGCACTCTTTGTTTCACGAAACATTCATAATATTTATCACATTTCATTGGGTTTGAGATTTCAAATGTGGATGAATTTGTGAGGCTCCCTAACAACCAAGAGATTCACTGAAACCTCACTTTCTTGACTATTTATGTAACGAAAGGAATCAATCAATTTCGATGTTGGATGAGTAGTCGCTTAATACGTACTGTGGGTTTCATTTGGCATCATAGATGAGAATCATAAAAAGATCAAAAGAGTCCGAAATAGCAGTCATTGTGATTTCAGTCACGGATGTGATGTGTGGCATGAATATGATGCCATTTTATATTACTGGAATCAATCTGTGTTAACTATAGGTTATTTTTCACAGCTTGCCCAGCTGAAACTAATTGTTTATTCTGTAGAAATCTTTATTGAAATAGGAAACCTTATATACATATCTGTCTATAATTAATAATACCAACATTTTAATATTATTATAAATTCAAATTCAAATTAAATTAACACAAGCGCAATGAATTAAATTGAATTAACACAAGCGCTATTGAACATGTTTTAACAAAAATCGATTGTAGCAGTCATATATTCCAATTTCACAAAATAACTTGTAGATAGATACATTGTATTATAACAATACAAATATTCGTTTATTATTGATACAGTTTACTTAGTCATATCTGCCGAAAAAGAAAAAAAAAATAGTGGAATCATATGATTGAAAATACTAAACTAACTTATACAATTTCTACGACTATCACAATACCTAATAATTCCTACTTTCATTTTTTACAAATTCTGTCAAAGATGTTTTAAAATTTTCCAAATTGGGCAATTTTTTTAATTCCTTCGGCAATTCATCGAATTTCTGGAAACCTTTAAAAAATAAAGAGTTCATGGTACTTCGAAACATCGTTCTGTTCATATGTATGTTGTTTGCATTTATTGTATTGTACGTATGAATGTCTCTATTCAGGTTGATGTACTGTTTGAAATATTCAGGTGCCACACCATTTACAATCTAGAATACTAAAATCATTGTGAAATAGTATAGTCTACTTTCAACTGTCATCCAACCTAGACAATCTAGCATATTTCTTACAGGAGTAAGACGATTAGTTTTCGAGATTATCCTCATCCCTCGATTTTGTAGTTTTTGTAGTATATTCAATTTATTGAGGTTGAATAAATATAATATAGATGAACAATAATCAAAGTGCGGTTGGATGATGGTATTGTAAACCGAACTTCAGACTGAATTGATAGATGATGTGATATTCTACTGAAAAAATATAGTTTTTTATGAATATACTCAAAATGACTGTCGAAATTCAAAAAGTTGTCCAGTTGAAAACCAAGGTGTTTGACCGTTGACACAATTTCAATTTTTTCATTATTGATTCTGAGGTTTATATCGTTGATGTCTAGAGAACTATATCTATATTTGGTGGTGAAGATCATTGCTTTTGTTTTTTGTTATGTTTAGTTTCAACTTGTTGGTGCATAAATATTCATTCACATCAGTTAGTAAAATCCTGTTCATTTTTCGAATAGCTATATCTAGTATCGTGTCACTACAAATTAGCAACATATCATCAGCAAATAGATTTATGAACTCAGATTCAGCAAAAAGTCCAATATCGTTCAGGTATAAAACAAAAAGAAGAGGACCTAAAACACTACCCTGGGGGACACCCACATCAATATCTACTTCATTCGATAGCGTATTTTTAAAACTGACTTTCTGTTTTCTATTTTTTGAATAATCACTGAACCACTCTAAAACGTTTCCATCAATCCCATATTGTTTCATTTTCAACAACATAATTCCTCTATCAATTGTCTCGAAAGCTCTCTTTAGGTCCAAAAATACAGCAATAACATATTTCTGGCTATCTATGTTAGTGTGAGCTGTAGTGCTGTTTCAACTGAGAATTTTTTTCGGAAACCCGATTGATTATCAATTAGAATTGAATTTTTATTGACATGCTGTAATAATTGGTCATAAACAGCAATTTCCAAATTTCTTTCAATAGGGGGCAATGTATTAATGGAAGGAAATTCATCGGCTTTATTAGTGTTAGCTATTTTTGGAATAGGAATAACAGTACTACTTTTTAATTTACGCGGTATTATTCCGGTGTTCAGAGATGTGTTTATTGAATTGACTTTTCCACTCTTGTTTCCGATAACCAATCATCGGAATCGACCATTTTCATTGCGTCTTCTGTATTACAGCGATATTTTTTTGTTAACTGGATTCAATCGGACCTGCTCTACCATTCAGGAGGCCGAATTGACCCACACGTGCCCAGCCAACCTCGTTTTTCATCGATAAAATTTTTGACATTCAAAACGTCAATCATGTTATAAAAGTGGATTTATGCAGCATTATTGAACGATTATCAAGTAACATTTATCATTCAACAAGTAGCAATTTGAAGTTGAACTTCCTGTTTTCAATGAAGGCGTTTATGCAGAAATTTAACGATCATCAATTTACAAATAACAAGTAAGAAGTTGCCAGAATGATGGATGCAGTGTGCGAAACTTCCGCTGGACTCGCTTTTATTGTCTCAATCAAGAAATAATATTCATACGAATATAACTATATACTATTAATACCATTTCTCCGGGAAATATTTGTCGATTGACATACTTCAGCTTGCTGTTTCAATTCCGCTCATTATATTGATCCAAAACTTCTCGCCTACTGCTCGAAAGATTCCATAAACAAGGTCATTCGCGAAATTATTAGGCAACAAGCTGTCGTCACTATCGCCGAATATTACCGGCAAAATAGTATCAGTTGTGATATTACATAATGAATGTATACAATTTGTTAGGGCATCAAGAGTTCAAAATATTGCCAATACCCACCTCCTCTTCATATCATTCCTAGGTACACACGATGTTTTTCGAACATTATAGAGATTTCCTTTCATGCGCTACGAGCGATGAAAAAATAATATGTCACTTCTTTCATTAATATTTATTATAGCGAAACATTCAGGTAACACATAAGGGTTTCATTGAAGAAAAAAAGTTTGGTTC